CTTAAATATGTTATCACAGAGTCGTTCCTCTCCTATCCCTTTACGGATAGGCTCAGCCTTGGTGCAGCGGCGGGTCCCTCTTTGGAGCCGGCTGGCTCTATCAAACTCAGGAAGCTTCTAGCAGCTTCTTGCAGAAGCCACCCTGGAGCTCTCCCCCTGCTGCCACCAAACTCTGGCTGGGCCAACCCAATACACCATCTCAGGGCAGGATGTGACGAGCAGCCAAAGGTGGGTTGGGCTGTGCTGGGAGGGATCCAGGACTCACTGCAGTAAAGTTACGGATGGGACAGGAGAGCATGACTGTGTGTGAGTCAGAAGTTACCCATCACGTGCCACCATGAGCTGCGTTACCTGTCTGTGGGTGTAAACATTGTCCCTGGGAATATTGGTTTGTAGTGATTTCCTTTGCATTTTCCTTGGGAAAACAACATTTCCTTCATAGCATTAGGAGAAAAGAAAACTTGGTCCTTATTTATGGAGATCGTTAGTCCCCACGGCTGATAGGGAGGTGATATCTAACCCCAAGCCCAGCTCCCATCTCTGTGTTTGTCTCTGGGGGTTTTGCCTGTCCTGCCTATCCGGGGTGGCCGGTGGCTACATGTGTTGCTTTATCTCCCACAGGCTCCTGCTTCTGGGTCGCTGTCCTGGATGGCAACGTGGTGGGGATCGTGGCAGCGCGAGGCAATGAGGAAGACAACACGGTGGAGCTGCGCCGCATGTCCGTTGACTCCAACTACCGCGGCAAAGGGATCGCCAAGGCCCTGGGCCGCAAAGTGCTGGAGTTTGCTGTGCTCAACAACTACTCCTCCGTCGTTCTGGGAACCACGGCCGTGAAGATGGCAGCCCACAAGCTCTACGAGTCCTTGGGGTTCAAGCACGTGGGTGTCGTCGAACATTACGCCCTGCCAGGGATGACACGCTCCTTACTCGAGAGAATGTTTTTCCAGCTCCGCTACCACCGCTACCGCCTGCAGCTGTGGGAAGAATAAAAAAAAACCCAACCAAATGAGAAAAAAAAAAATTTTTTTTTTTCCTCCACCTCCCCCTTCAAAAATAATAAATTACCCTTCTATTTCTCGTCACTGTTGATTTGCCAGTTTTGGGTTGAGTTTTCATCCCCTCATGTCATCTCTTGGTTTGCTCCGTGCAGCTCGATGGCGCGGCCGAGCAGCGCTCCTTCCTCGCATGCTGTAGGTGGTGGTGCTGGGAGTCCTGCGGCGTGGCGGGGCGGAGCGGCGGCCTCTCCTTTGCCAGGTACCTCCTCCGTAAAGCACAGAAACTTCACTTCCAAAACAGTACCACTGCTCCTGGTGTACATAGTCTTCTCCTTTTCCAAATGTAAGATATAACATAGTGATGCGTTCACAATAGTGCAGAAATATTACTTGAATGCAGTTTTCAGTATTTCACGCACCAGTAAGTCGAATATACATTGTCTTACAGTTATTTACTGGTTAATAGTTTTCAAAGAAAAGGCGGGGGGCGATCCCCTGTGCCCCTGCCCCAACCCGCTTGCTACAATGCATGAAGAGGAAAGCGCGTGCACGCACTCAAACACATCGCACTGCCACCACGGCACTGGTATTGCACTTTTTTTGGATGTGCCTCATTCTGCCAAATGTCTGAGAGAGCCCTGGGTGCATCCGGTAACCACGACTCCGCTCCATCCCCCGCCCCCCTCCTTCCTAAGCCAGCACAGACTTGGACCGGCTGAACTTCTGAGCCCCATTGTACTATAGCGTGAAGTTAAGACCCAACCTAACTATCTCCTGCGCTGTTCTGTAGCCACGCGTAACCTGCAGTCCTGGGCCACAATCCGCATGTGCGTTGGACTTTCTCTTTGCTGCCTTTTGGTGGTCTTTTTTTTTTTTTTTTCCCTGTTTGGTTTTGTTTTGTTTTATTTTTAAGGTGTTTTTTTGTTGTTGTTATTATTTTTAGTTTTGGCTTTTGCTGAATGGTGTCGTTGAGGCGTAATGGAGGCTGCAGTTCCTATGGCAACACATTTGCACATTAATGTGCGCACCAAATCTAACCACTTCAGAGAAGCAACATGTGAGGGATAATAGCGGTTTGGGGAGTGCTGGGGTGGGAGGGGGGGGAAGCGTACGTACTATCTTAACCAGCTGCTTGTTTGATAAATGTAGATGGCCTCACTGCAGCCTTCCATCAAAGGTAGTTAACTGCTTTAATGATGTCAGATTTGTGAATTGTACAATGCAAAAAGCAATGCAAAGCAGATTCGGCATGTGTCTGTACCCAGTATGTATGTACAGTGCCTGCCAACTAAAGAATAACAAAGACTACAGCTTCTTCTAGCCTGAGATATCAACTTTTATAACTTATTTAAACAAATAGCAACTTTGCATGAATTACGTCTTGGGGGAAAAAGATCAGTAGGTTTTAATTTTCAAAATGTGGTACCAGAAGTATACAGAAAACCATTCATGTGTCTGTACCCAGTATGTATGTACAGTGCCTGCCAACTAAAGAATAACAAAGACTACAGCTTCTTCTAGCCTGAGATATCAACTTTTATAACTTATTTAAACAAATAGCAACTTTGCATGAATTACGTCTTGGGGGAAAAAGATCAGTAGGTTTTAATTTTCAAAATGTGGTACCAGAAGTATACAGAAAACCATTTCTGACTGCACTTAATTTGGAGTGGGTGGAAGGATTCATCTCTGTTAATATATTTAAAGGGAAAACTCCTTTAATTTAGTTCCTGGGGGGAAAAAAATAATTACTACTTTATGCAGTGTTATATGTAGCGGGGGGGGAGAACCACCACCTATCATGATGAACTTGCTGGAAGGGTAGAGCCCGTGTTAACCACGCTTGCACTTGCAAACAACACGGAGGCGTAGAGCAGGAGAGCACCAGGAGGGAGGTGGTGTGGAGGGACAGGTGCCACAGACCCTGCGTCTCGCTCGTGTGGCAAAGTGCCCTTTCCTCTCCAGCTGGAAGCTTTCCCAGCACCCAGACCTAGCCAGGTGGACGCTCGGTGGGAACCGAGGCCCTGGAGCCGTCGGGCACATCCCTGGCAGCGCTCTCGGTGCTGGGCTCGGGTTCAGTCCAGCCCGTGAGGAACCGGAGGGGCAGAGCCCCAGCGTGTGTCCCAGCAATAAGGGGGGGAGATGAGGATGGCGAAAGGCACTGTAGCAAGAGGCTGCATGTTTAATTTAACAAGACTTCTGTATGGGGCACTATATTTTTAAAAAAGTCTTTCTATGCTGTACATTTCTCCTGAAGCTGAAGTTAATGTACTATTGGTAGGGGTTTTTGTATAGTGTACAGAAATTGGCAGAATATTTTCTTGCTGCATTCAGTGATTTATTAACCGAAGTAAAATAGACAAATATAAAGTGTTAGCAAAAGTTGAAAGAAAAAAAAAACAAACACAAAAGAGTTTGTGCCTTTTTTAGTTTATTTTTCTGTTGCTATATAATCACTGCACTAAAACCTTTCCAGAGGGGAAAAAAAACCACAAAAACTAGTCTCTTAATAAGGGAGGAATACGTAAAGCCTAAATTGAGCATTAATTTTTTTATTGGGATATTTAATTAAAAGAATGTTGCTGGTTTTATTTGATACCTGTGCCTTTGTAATAAAATTCCACATCCTGTCAGAAAAGCCAAACCTGGAATAAATCCCACCAGATCCCATAGACGCAGAAGTACCATCAGGTTACCAGTATTTTCCTTTAAAACGTGTAAACCTTAACTGATGTTGTTACAGTATCTGATTGTAATACCTGTTGAGTTGCTTGGGAAAGAAGTGCTTTGGAAAGGTGCATCTTTTCGGGCGCTGTTTGCATTCTTCCCTGAATGCCAGAGATGCACCCATACGGATCGAGTTCTTGCCACTTGGCCAATAGCTGCCGAGCAAATTTCTTTCTTTAATGCTTCTGCCAGTTGCTTTGTGACCGGGCTCTTTGGAAAAAGTCCAACTGGTTGCTCCCAGCTCTCCAGCCAGGACAGCTCATTTCTGATGGAAAGGGCTGGCTGCCAGATAGGCTGGGTTTTTCTTTCCTCGGAAGACAGAGAGGGCTGGCGGGTGAAACGCCACCAATCCTAGACCTGGTTTTTATTGGGAAGCCCATGTGGCTGCCAGGGCTGCACCCCTGGTAGCAGTGATGTGACAGAGATACAGGATCTCCAGCGTTGTAGCTGCTCCAATTAGGATTAGGCAAGGTTGGGCTTAAAAACATCAGATGATGCTGTTGTTTCTTCTGCATTCGTGGGAAGTTTCCCTAGATGTGATATCTCAGGCTCGGCTCTGGAGCCAGAAGGTCACTGCTCTGCATGTCCTCTGGACTGTGCCAGCATCACCCCCTGCCCCACCAGGGTCCCCTCCACCACTGGGGCCAGCATGCTGCTACACCACGGTGCAGCTCACAGGGTGAGGTGTTGAGGCTGAACTGCCTTTAGTGGATCCATCCCATCTGCTCTGCCTCTTTCAGGATGCACTGGTTTAAACAACACCATGGAAAAGATCCCAGAGCTCGCTGCCAGTGCCCCGCAGTACTGGCTTTGTAGCCCCCCTTGGGGAGCTTCTTGCTTCTGCACCAGGGAGCAGGTTGGCACAGCCCTGCGGCAGGACTGTCCTCATCCAGCTTTCTCCAGGCTTGAGTGTCACCTCCTGACGCTTCCCATGCTGGGTGGGTGCAGAGCAGCACCTGATGGTTGTGGATTTGGTCCTGAGCAGAGGAGCTTGTGCTCTGGACCTACTGCCAGAAACCCATTGAGATCCTATTGCCAGTTGCTGAGTCTTCATTCCAACTGAGACTCACATCAGTGTGAGATGGGAGGGGATGCTCCTAATTTATTTTGGTGATTTCCCCTTCCAAGGACACTTTTAGCTGGAGCACAGGGAAGAGTGGAGCATCTCTTGGGTTTTAGCCTCAGTTGATAAACATGACGGCTAATAAGATCGCTTCAGATTTAGGCAGAGGATGTATTGGAGATGTGAAAGACCTTCCCCCAGCTGTGCCAGGCTGCCTGTTTTAACTTTGCAGTGTGTGGGGGCTGTCACAGCCCACTGTCTCTGCACTGCAGCACCAAGGATGCGGTTTCCTCGCCTGGCAACCCTCTCTGTAGCGTTGGGGCTTTTGCTGCTGATCCCTGTGCAGTGAGCACAGCTTGAGTGTCCTCTGCTTGGAGGGGCAGTGAGCCCTTGCTCATTGGGGAAAGCACCAGGAATGATGTCCAAAATTAAAAAAAAAAAAAAAAAAAAAAAGGAGAATTAAAAAAAGGATGGAAAATGGGAATTTTGCATTGCCATGGCTGAGGTCCACAGCCCCAGGGGTACCCCAGCCCTCCAGCACAGTCTGGGCCATGCCGTCTGGAGCCAGGGGGAACACCCTGTGCATCCTAAGCGAACTGGCATCTCAAGCACATGTAATATTTGGCAATAAGCTCTGTGGGAAGCTTGGCCCTTGAACAGTTCCAGGCCAATAATACAGAGCAATCAAACCAACAAAGAAAGTGGTTTCTAATCTTACTTGAAATCCTTCAGCTGGTATTTGTTGTAACTTCATGCTGTGCTTTCCCTCCTGAAGCAGGCAATACCTGCAAGATGCTTAGAAGTGGCAGCCGTAATTCGTTTCTGCTGGCAGATGCAGAAAAGCTCAGGGCATTGCCGTGAGCTGAAAACTGTTCTTTTCCCCTTCCTCGCTGTCCATGTGCGGTGTGTGGGACGGCAGTTTGGAGCAAGCTGTTGCCTCTTCCCAGCGTGCTCCAGGCTGTCCCCAGGCGCAGGACTGAGGGCAGGAGCTGAGCTCTCGCCTGCTCGGTCCATCCACTCCCATCCCTGCAGCATGTACAGCTCTGGGGGCACCTGGGGAAGTCAGAGCTCTGGGGGGGGCACTGCCCGCCCAGGGCGGAGAGATGCACGGCCAGGGGCCAGTTTGGCCACAGGGCTTTCCAGGCTGGCCATTGTGGAAGGAGACAGCTGGCAGTGTAGCCAACACCGTGAGGGAGAAGCAGGCTTATTCTAAA